AAATATAAAATATATAAATATAAAATGATGCTTTTGTGATTTAACAAGTACCTACATTCTTTTATATACACATAGCAGATTTTTTTGGATGGAACTATTCTCCAACTTCAAATGAAAAGGCCCCCCGAACAATGATGCTAGACAGAAATATTAATACATCTGGAAACCACAACTTGACAGGTGCAGATAAAAGCAAGTCTTCAGACTCAGAAGTTTTGAATGTGAACTTTGAACTTGGAGATGAAGTTTGGGAAGATTTTGATGATGAAAGCTTATTAGAAGTTACTAGTTTTTCAAATGATACTGAGAAGATGACGATATCAGGTAAAATATTTTTACATAAAGCAGGTTCATTAGAAAGTCTTTGAATACTTTTATTTTGCCTTCTGAAACTCATTTTCCTTGCCTTTTTAATGTGTATTTATTTAAAGAAATTTGTTGTTTAGGATTATAATTTTTGACAAAACTGAAAAAAAAATGCCTCTTTCACAGAGTATTTTTCCCTGTGAAAGGCAAAGGTCAAGGTTATTTCCTACTAATGATACAGTAAATGAGATACTTTTCTCTTTTGTTTCTCCCCTTTCTTGTAAAAGTTCCTGTTCAAATTCAGACTGTTTATTAAATTGCCCCTAATAAAACACATTACCCTGCTCTCCATTCTAAGATCATACATAGTCCACTACTATTTGTGAAAGACAAATTCATCTGCTTGCAAAGAAAGTTTTATTTCTAGTGAAAATGCTTATTTTTCACATATAAATAAATAAGAAAAGGTTAGTGTCTTCTGTGTTGAAAATTTTGCTTAAATCATACAGACATAAACCAAAAACAATGAGATTTTGGTTATTTGAGCTACAGACAAATTCATTCTATTTTACTAAAACAGAAAATTGAAACTTGGTAAGTATTTGACAAGATAAAAAATGTGATGCTTTTCCCCATGAGGGCAGATAGAAGGAAACCAGTTCCTCAAGCTTCAGGGCACTCTTATTCCCACAATTACAGTTTTGTTGTTTCTTGGTATGTTCTACCTCAGACTCTCTAAAAATAAAACAAAAACAAAAACAGCAACAACTAAGGGGACAGATGGAAGTTAAAATAGTACTGTCTCAGAATCTTAAGGGTTACTTAAATAGTCATACTTTTCTCAGAAAGATCAGGATTTGACTACCTCACAAAATAGACCTAGAAAAATCTATGATGCTGGATCATTAGGCACATTTCTTATATTGCTGGAAAACTACTAGTCCCTAACTCGAAATTGTCATTGTGTCCTGCAAGCTAGAAGGCAATGTACACTGACCCTTTGAGGTGACCTATTCTATGAGAGAATAGCGCTGTCACTGGGAAAATCAGTTTCAGTAAATGCCATTTTCCCCATGTGTACGATACTTAATTTTTTTTAAAAATAATGTTTTGTGGGTATGCGCATGTGAATGCAGGTGTCCATGGAGACCAGAGGTGTCAGATCTCCCTGTAACTGAAGTTACAGGTGGTTGTGAGCCACCTGATGTGGATACTGGAAATCAAATTCCAGTCCTCTGCAAGAGCAGTATGAGCTGTCTCTCCAGCCCTGTAGAGTACTTTAAGCAATTACATGAAGACCATTGAAAATATTGAATAAATTTCACCTTGATCATCTACCTGAATTCAAATTGTGGTGATTTGAAGACCTTTAAACATAGTAACTAATAAACTAACCTATGTTTTGTAGTCTTATTCTCTTAGCTTTGTGCCATGTAAATCAAACTTGATTATTGGGAATTATCCATTCCTTTCTTAATCAGGTCCTGCTGATTAGAGAGATCCCTTGTAAAGCTTGCTAAATACTTCTTTTAGGTAGCTGTCAATTACAGTTGTATTTCAAAATGTTCTTTCTTTTCACAGGATTTGAAAACACTATGAGTTCAAGTGCCAGGGCCAGTAGGCTACCCTTCCAAGAGTCAAAGAGCAAATTCCAAAGAAAAATGTCAGACAGGCAAGTTTAAGAACTTTGGTCTGTAATTCTTACAACTTTATATACTTCTTGAAATATAATTGGATATAGAGATTAGGTCATCAAATGGGGGAAAAGCAGTAATGTGTAAGTGAACTTAAACTTTCTTAATATTAGAGATCTGTTTCTCAAAGTGCTGTTGTCAAATCACTTGTATCAAAATCATCTAGTAGCACTTTGTAAAACTGTGAATGCTTGGTCCCCACATTGAACCTACTAAATCATGGTCTCTGGAAGTCATCCAAGAATCTCATATTTTCCAAAATAAGTAGAAAAGAGAGGAATAGGCATTCCAGGTTTAAAAAGGAAAAAGAGCATAAACTTGAAAAGACATTCCATGCTCAAGTGTGGCCATAGCACTAAGGGTAAAATTTTTGAGTCTGAGTGTGAGGGTCTTGAATGCCATGATAAGACATCTGTAGCCCAAGACTCAAAAATGCAAATGCCTTCAGGATTTGAGGAACCAAGACTAGAGTATCCCATCTAAAGTGAGCAACCTCTACTCAACTGCAACTAGTTGTTGTTGTCTGGGAGGTGTAAGTTTAGTGTTGGCAGATACTGTGCTCTTTCAAGGAAAGTTAGGAATCTGAAATTTTATAGGATATTTCATGATTTTAAAAATTTGATAATTAGTTCAAAGAAATGCAATATACTTTGCAACATCTCTATTAAAGTAACAGTATCTACAGGCCAGATTTAGCTTAGGGACCTCTAGTTTTTCACCTCCATGATAGGCAGTGATATAAGCATAGGAAAACAGTTTAATCATAAAAAAAATCATTCTGGTAACCCATACAGAGTGAATTGTAGAAGGTAGGACCAGCAGAGGTATGGTGGCCAATGAAAGGCAGAGCATGATGAGGCCTTAACTGGGCAGAGGAAATGGAAACAAAGAGGTTAAGGTTGGACTTTTAAAAAACATTTTAGAGTTGGGCCAGCAAGATGGCTTACCATGTAAAGGAGCTTGCTGCAAAACTTGATGACCTGAGTTCAATCCCCAGTATTCACATGGTAGAAGGAGAGAATCGACTCCCACAACTTGTCCTCTGACCTCCACACAGTGTTCTGGCACATGAATGTGCATACACACACACACACACACACACACACACACACACACAAAGTAAATAGATAAATATAAAAAAATTTTAAATAAAACATCTCAGAGAGAAAGTTCATTCAGTTTGATAATTAATAGATATAATAATAGAGGAAGGAAAAGAATAAAAGCAACTGGGTAGATGGAGCCATTGTTTGAGTACATAGGAAGCACAAATTTGAAAAAAGAAAAATCATTTTAGAAATGCTCAATTTGGATTATTTTTAGAAAAGTAAAAAGTGCATTTGGAAATACTGGATTTCATTAAAAATCAAGTTTGGCCAAAGCACAAGAAACTCTGACAACTTTTTATTCAGGGTCCAATATTTTACTTAAATAATCATTTTACTGATTATTAGTATCAACACCACAGAATCATAGAGTTCAGAGAATTCTAGAACTAAGCAGACTTTGTTTACGTGTCATTTAGTTTCCATAACTGGACCTTAAATCGCTGTTCTCATTACTACCAAGTAATTGCACATTACTACCAGGACAGCTCCACTGACCAGAAGCTCATCCACCCCCAAAATACTCTGAGTTTGAATCTTCCGGACAATCCAGCAGTGTTTTATAATATTGACCTAAAAGTTATCTTTTTATAATCTTCAGTTTTTGGATCTAACTTTGAGTCAGATAGAATAAATAAATATAATCATTGAACAACAAGGTTGTGGGTAGGAGAAGAAAAAATAGCGTGAAAACAATTTCTGCACCATGCATCTAAAAAACTACAAATAATTTTGGAACAGTTTAGAAATGATCAACAAAAGATAAATAGATTTATGGATTTAAAATGGATCCCAACAAGAAACTGTGAGAAAACAGTTTCAGAAGTTACATCAGGAGAAGGTCTGTCAGACCTGAGGATCTGTGGTAGTAAAGGAACTTGTTTTTCCTTTGATACCCTTTTTACTGGTTTACTTCTTTGCCATGTGTATATAATATTTATTAATCAAAACTAAAAAGATCTAGTCAGTATATGTGACTCTCCCTACTGCCATCCACTGGTCATTGCTCTTCACAAAGTATCACATTTTAGCTTTTAAACGACATCTTAATTGTCACCTGCTCAGAACAGCATTAATGACCATCTCTTTAAAACAAGTTTATGTCTCCACACTGTTATTTCTTATGATAGTATTCTTCATTTCCTTATAAAACTTTGGAATCTCAGCCAGACATGGTGGCACACGCCTTTAATCCCAGGCGGAGGCAGGCGAAACTCTGTGAGTTCAAGGCCAACCTGGTCTATATAGCAAGTTCCAGGCCAGCTGGGGCTATAGGGAGACCCTGTCTCAAAAAGACCAAAAAAAACCAAAAAGCAAAAAAAAAATGGAATCTATAAGTGTACATATGAGTATTAATATACATATATATGGGAGGGTATACACATGTGTGGGCCTGTGGAAGCCAAAGGACAATCTTAGGTGTCGTTCCTCAGGCACTGTCTGTCTTTGCTTAATTTATAATTTATTTGTGTGTGTATGTGCATATGGTCAGCAAGTGCCATCGATTCTCCTGTTTGTGTCTCATTTGGAGCTGGGGTTTACAGTTTGTGTGGGGTAGATGACTTGTTACCTGAGTGCTGGGATCTGAACTCTAGTCCTCATGGTTATGCAGCACACACACAGCATTCTAAACTGTCTCTCAAGTTTTTTGTTTTTCCTGTTTTTCTTGAGACAGTGTCTCACTGATTTGGAACTCACCAAGTAGGCTAGGCTGGCTGACCCAGGAACTCCAAGAATTCCCGTTTCTACCACCCCAGCCCTAGCAGTACAGGCATACACCATCATGCCACCTTTTTCATTTAGGTTCTAGGGCTCAAATTCAGGTCTGTGTGCTTGCAAGGCAAGCACTTTATCAACTAAGCTATCTTCCCGGCCCCTATTTTTATTTTTATATATTGTCTATTCCTATATTAGCTAGTAATTCCCTGGTGGCTTGTTTTCTACTTTATATAAATCGAGCTCCTAGCATAATATATGGCACATAGTATATAACAAATGTGTTTTAATGAATGAATTCAATGCAAAAGTTTATGAATTCTAGCCTGTAGTTATATTAAAGAAGGTAACTAGAGATATCTTTCCACAGTGAGTCCAAAATAGAGAAAAGAGGTTAAAACTTTAGAATTTAGAAAAGATTTACAGGTTTTTAGGTAATGGAAAAATAAACATAATTCTTAATTTTAATGAAAATTGTTGAATGATTTAGTCCCCTAAAAATAGTGCTCTTTTCCAATCTGGAGTATGTAAATTTGGTTTGTTCTTAATAAAAGAAAATATGCCAAGTTCTTAAATGAGTATAGGAAACAAAATCATTTTTTGTAATAAATATAATAAACATTCATTATGTCCTTCACAGAATCATTATAAATGTAGATTAGAATGGTTTGTTTTTCTTATCATATTTCACAAATAATTGATTTTAATTTTTAGTTTTGTTTCATCATGTGATAAACCGGATATTTATTTGCCAAATTGTTCCATGTCCAAGTTCAGTCCATCCTCTGTGGCACTTCAGCAACCTGGAAATGCAAGTACTGTAGCAGAGGCACCTTCTGCTTTTATTTTATTTTTAAAAGTATTTCATTTTTATTTTATAAGCGTATTGCTTGCATGTATGTAGGTCCACCTGTGTCACAGCAATGCCTGCAGAGAACCGAAGAGGGCTTCAGAACAATCATTAGCCACCATCTGGGTGCTGGGAGTCGAACCCAGGTCCTCTGCAACAGCAGTCAGTGCTCTTAACCATTGAGCCATCTCTCCAGCCCCTTGCTTTTATTTTAATTTTTGCCTGAATACTTAAACTTTCAATGACTGGTATTTTTTACATTAAAATATAGGTCAATTCACAAGAGAGAAAACAAATGGGTCTGTCACCAGTGATCGAGAGGCTCTACCTTCCTCGCTCTAAAAAAATACCCAATTCTGATTTTAAAGAGGTGGATATTTTTGTTGGAAACAGTGATTCTAAAAAGGAAATTGATCTCAGGTGAGAACTCTTTAAATATAGTTCAAGATTCGACTAACAAAAACTTTTTACAAAGAAATCGAGCATTCCTGTTTTCCTTGGATCATTTTAAAGATCAGAGTCTAAACTATTTATTAAAATCATTATTAAAAACATTGAAATCTTAGATCCCATGAGCACTGAGATCCTTAAGATATCAATTTTTTTTTCTTTTTTTTTCTTTTTGAGGCAGGCTCTTCCTGTAGCTACAGCTCGGCTGGAACTCAATATGTAGGCCAAGCTGGCCTCGATCTCACGGAGATCTGCCTGTCTCTGCCTCCCAAGTGCGGCAAGTGCTAGAATTAAAGGCATGTGCCACCACGCCTGGTTAAGATATCAGCTTTAGATATATTAATTTTTAAAACCTATATATTTGATGCTATTAATTATAAACATTGAGTTGGTAAACTTGGTTTTACTGATTTGAATGTAGTATATTGATTGTATAAACTATGATGTATAAATACAAGTGAAGTCGGTTAATGTTACGAAAGTTCAAGTTGTACTTTATTTAGCCAGTCAGCTATTTCACAACTTAGTTGGTTCAACACTAAAGGCATAATCAAATCATTGCCTCCACTACTGGCCAGTTTTAGAAAAAAAAAAAAAACTCTGTAGCAATTTCTCTTTCCTTGAACAGTCAAAGTTTAGAGAACTGTTCATTAATAGCATTACTTTCCAATGCTTTTAAAGAAATAATTAAGTGACTTAGTCCTTATACTTTATAGTTTGTATAGTCTATTTTTTTACCCTCAAGGTTATATATACTAAACTTATTTGTATAATAACC